TCCTGTCTGTTCACTCTACCTTCTACCAGAATCATTCTTCTATTTTTATACTCCTCCTATTCTTCCTGCAACAATTCCTGTCTGTTCACTCTACCTTCTACCAGAATCATTCTTCTATTTTTATACTCCTCCTATTCTTCCTGCAACAATTCCTGTCTGTTCACTCTACCTTCTACCAGAATCATTCTTCTATTTTTATACTCCTCCTATTCTTCCTGCAACAATTCCTGTCTGTTCACTCTACCCACCGCCAACTCTTGGGCTACTCTTTTACCAACAAATAGTGGGATTGACCGTCACATTATACCGCCCCCACAGCTGAAAGGGCGAGCATGTTTATTAGAACGGGGATTCGAACCCACGACCCTAAGATTACGAGTCGAGCGCCCTAACCACCATGCCATGCCGGGCCTACAAAAATAGCACAGACATGCTGTAACATAATGAAAACTTTATCACCGTTTTAGCCAAACGAGATTTATTTGAATAACGCTGGCATTCGACGACGCATAAAGCGTGTAAAACATGTATTTCAAATTGGACGTACATATGAACGATTTGTTTGTACCAATAGTGCCAACAAAAGTACAGGTTATTCCCGCCGAAAATTTTAAAAAAAAGTGACTGTGTTATGAATAACACTATTAAAGGTCGTATATTTTTGAATTTTTAACACTTGAACACTAAAAAATGATTTCAACAAAAACATTGTTGCTAAAATAATAAACCAGATTAACTTCCATAGTGATGATGACACTTCGGTTTCCATTCTTAGTCAGCTCGAAACGTTCAACTCAAACGCATATCATGGCAACGATTGGAAAGGTATTCAGAAAGATGCTTCCCCCTTTTTACTCTACCCTACTAATTATGGAGTATGGAAACATCTATATACATATATTTAATTATGATATGATCTACCGAAAGAGTCTGGAGTTTAGGAGGAGTATGAAAATATAAGAAAGATATTCTGTTTAAAAAAAAAGGTCTGAGGTTACAGAACTTTAAACTAATACAGTTGCAAACTGAAAAATGAAAGTATTAAATTCGGTAAAAAGCGTGTTTGCAAATATTAACAAGAACAAAAAATCAGAAGATTTGAATCCTGCCAACATAACCATGTTGTTCTTTGATAGATTGTTTAAGGCAGAGTATTTATTCATGATGAAACTTTGTTGAATGGACGGCAACTGCCTGTTGTAGAAACACAAGTGTAGAGGACGACGTTTTGTGTTTCTACAACAGGCAGTTGCCGCCCATTCAGCTATGTTGTTGTTTGTCAGTAATTTTGCAGTTAGTTTCAATGACGACAATCCCACGTGCTTAAAAACAAACTGAAATTTCAGTACCTTCATGACCATATATATATATATGGTCTTTCAGGTCGTCTTAGTGTATTATTTGGTTTTATTAATGAACTAATAATATTCGCGATTTTTAAGAGGACTCCTAAAGACACTTAAACCTCTCGCATTAAATAAACAACAAAAAACTCCCTCGGTTAGGCACGTGGCTCAAACTTTTGCCAGAGATATTTCTTTTATGTGAGAGATACCAAAAAAAATCGTAAAGAAACACAAACGTTAAACCTTATTTTCCCAGACACTGAACTCTTTGACTATATTTTAACACAATCATTAATTGTATTAGCTTTTTGATTCGCAATATCGGAAATATTTTCTTTCTTACTGAAATGTTTTAAATTAAATTATCGTTCAGTCTAATGCGCACTAATCTTTTGATTCGTTGTTCTTATGGGCTCATTTGTTGAAGCTCAGTGATTACGTGTTTTGTGTTTATAAATATGTGACAGTCAGAAGTAATTTGGATGTATCAACAAAACCAAGATTGATAAATTTGTCTACATTATGGTCGTTATATCTAACTTCGTTAAAACTATAGCCAGTAGTTAGCCAGTAATTTAGATAAGATCATAAGAACGAAACTTATCAGTTAGTTCTGAATTTGTTCTTTTTTGTTTAACTTTATAGTTTTTTTTGTTTTTTTTTTGTCGTTCATAAGATAATCTGTGATTTTCGAGAAAATGAAGACTAACTTATGTTGCAAATTCTTGAAGTTATACATGTGTATACGTACAGGTACAAGCATATACGTTGCGCAGAGATTGCTTCCACAACTGGCCTCATCCCATACGTGTTATACTTTTGCATTGTAGCAGAAGCAGTCGTACCTGATACTCAGTGCCTTTTGCCGTCTATTCAACACCCGTTTTTATCTCCACATTGTCACATGTCATTATTTTTTCACTACCATACGAATTTGATAATCTGCTTTTTGTATGTTTTAAAGAAAAGCTCCACCTGGAAGATATTATGATAAGCTAAAATATTAATGTTAATCATATACCAGTGTTAAAGAAAATGATCCAAAACACACGCATTACTAAAATATGTTGGTAACATACTTATGCATATTTGTGTGTTAATTTTACATCAGAGACACCAAAACTGAAAAAAAAAAGTTATAAAATGAATCAGTGAAAAGTTGCTTACAGTCTGCATGCTACGTTGTTTGAGAACTTTCCAGATGAATAGGCTTAGATATTAATGTGTTTTGGGTAGTGTGAAGGTCGAAATGGTTATTGTTCAAGTTTATTTCCGCCACTAATAATTCATCAGTCCCAAATTTTTTAACAAAAATGTTTACTTCGTTAAAAAGTATCGTAACTAGTCTCTAGCAATTTTCGAAACTTCACATACAGTTTTTTATTACATCAAAAAGGACGTTTCAAAAGCGTGAAATCTCAGTTTCTGCATATATAAGTTTAGTTGCTCAAACTCACCAGGAAAAATGGAGACTAGACAAATTTATCAAGTTCAGAAAGATTACGTTACTTAGACAAACTACTTCCGTTAGTTTTGATAAAGCCGAAATGACAGAAGTATATTTTTTAAACTTTTGTCAGTTTTTCATGGAACTGCCTTCATACATATTTAGCTGCATATTTCTATTAGTTCTTCCTGGTCCATCCGTTTCGTTTCTAAGATCCTTTTCTTTTGGATTTGTTTTTATGTTCAACTGTTTTTGTTTAGGAAGCTGTGTTATCTGATCTATTATGTATATATATATATGATGAAGCAGGAATTCACTTCCTTGGAGAATAATATGAAATTAAACACAGAAGTCTTAAAAACTTGAAATCATGTATATATTGCTTATCGGTTTCTTATTTATAGATGCTCTTAAAAGCAAAACCATAAAACATAAAAATCCGAATAACACACACACATGGAGACCAAAAATGGCGTCTGTATACAGTTTTGTCGCCTATATTTGTGTATGTTGTTTGTGTTTTTATGTTTTATGGTATAACTCATAAGAGCATCTACAGATACAAAACCGATAAGATTATTGATATGCTAAACTGGAGTATTTCGTGACATATGTTTTCAAGTGAAATTGAAATTTCTTCTGTTTAACATGTAAAAAAGAAAAACGCATACTAAGCTCTCGGTCGTCAAATTTTTTTTCGACGATTTTTAAACCTAAGGACTTCGTGATCATTTGAAGAAATTTACAGTGCAGAACTGTAAATATATAAACATAAACTGAAAGAGAAGTTTTCTTGTTACGAGTGTTCACCGCATCTGACCATCAATGAATTATATATCACAACCGTATTCATGTTGAGACATGTTTTCGAGTTCGTTTCTCTTTCAAAAAAACCAGCACTTTGTGTCAGTTTCTCACGAAAATGAAATAAAAATTCGGAGAAAATAAATTTCGTTTGGAGAGAGGAAACGATACTGTCAAGAATTATATTTTAACCCAGATATGCTTGTTTTTTTTTTTTAGCTTTGAACATTTAAAAACGTATTGTTCACTAGAATGTTTTTATTGTTTGGAATATATAAACAAGAATGCTTAAAGCACTATCTTGCGAGCACTACAGATGTGTCCAGTTTCTGAGTTATATGTTACTAAGGTAAAAATATACCTTTAAACGTAAGTAGGTGTGCTTTGTTTTATTACGAGTGATAATAGTTTGGATGATATTGCTGTCCTGTATCGTTTTTTGCTCGGTGCAAAAATTTTTACAAATTACATAGTCGGGGCTCCGTCTCGTGGTGGGTTGAGAAGGCTCATACTGTGTGAGTGTTTGTGTATTATATCTTGTCTTCTAATAACTATATCGTGAGGTGTGATGACGTGTTAGAGGAGTATAATGTATCAATGAATCTTTAGCGATTAGAGATCCTGATAAATTTTATTTTGGTTGTTTTCCTATTGATACTGATATGTATAACAAAGATGTGTGAATAGCCGCTCTCTTGTTCATCAGAAATTAGTAACGCCGTCAGAGACACTTTTTCAGCAAACCTAGATATGTGGTTATTATGTTTAAAGAGTAATGTATACAAAATAAGAAGTATCCGGTGAAAAAAAAGTTTAATGAAAAAGGACTCGTAGGCGTGTGGTAATTATATACGTTATTCCTGGATTGATGTTAATAAGTTGATTTTGTTAAAACACCAGGAGAAGAACATATCTAAGCCAGTTAAACTTGAACCAGATCGGTCTGTTGGTTTGAAGTGTCAGTATCAATACAAAATGTTTGAATGTGTGCTTTATTTTTTCTCTGTCATTATTTTGTTTTCATTTCTATGTGTTATTTTGCTACGTTACTTTAATTTTATTATTACGATTAATACATTATAACAAAGTCGCTAATTTTGATTAAATTTTTAATTAAAAACGTAATTCGTTCTTGAAGTACACAATTTAGATTATTAGATCTAACCACGTGTTTTAAAATATTGAAATGGTACAAAAAGAAAGGAATGACTATCGTCTTGGGAGTTTTTTTGTTAATTGTTTAGGTTTGATAAATATATTGTAGGCTCCAGCGATTTTTTCTCTCTCTCTTTCTTACCAGTATTAAACTTCTCTGTTTAACCTCTGGTCTATTATGTCTGTGTTTTCTTGTATATTAATATGTTGTGAAAAACAAATTTTATTTATGAATCGAGATTTATAAATTAAAATCTTGCTGGAATGAACCACGGTCTCGCCTCTTTTTACTTTCACAAACCCTTTATACGTCCATATTTCACATGTGCAACATCCGTCCTGTCAGTGTAGAATATCAAGTACAAAGTATCATGAACATAACATTTAAATATATTGGTACACAACATCAAATGCCTTTTCTCTCACTATTAAATGAGATAAGTTTGTTTCTAAGTTTCCCGTTACCTTAATGCTGAATAATACAAATTATTCATATGAAGTGCAAAGAAAACATTTCCTTGTATAGGAAAGATACATAGATAATTAGGTTTCTCATTTGCAATTAAATACGATACAGGAGTAAAGTGATAAAAATATACAAATTGTTGTTTTCAGCCTATGGTCACAATTTGCATATCCAATTACCTTGCCCTTAGTCATCACTGTCGTCTATGACTACACAATTAAGTTAAAAGCCATGACCCTCTTGTAATTTTGTTGAAGTGTGGGTATTTTCTGTTTCAGATGGCTTTTAAGATATATTGCTTCAGAGAGGGTTACATTACAAGAATTTTCGACGTGTAGTTCTTCTATTCTGCAATTCTAAAAACGTGTAACGTGTGATTCCAACAGGGAAAACAGATGTTCCACGATCGGCTAACAGTTGCACACCGGGGGTAGTGAAGAAGATTAAACAACTTATTACAGGAAGTAATTTAAGAACACGATGTATTTAAACTAAAGCAGGAGCCTCCCTTGGAGCTGTAAACAAGATGATTACACGGAAATAGCTTCATAAATGTGGCAAAAGCCGCTTCTAAAGAACATAGTGGAAAAAAGATCGAAAGCTATATATATGACTAGTATCTGTGGCACAATAGATGTATTATGGTTGCAGACTATAAGCATAATGATAATTAGACACTTGGATAGTCGAGAAATACGCTAAGGTGAACACACCTAACTATCAGGCTAACTTGCTGACCCCATTGTACCACAAAGACGTACTATCTTTCTACAGACTGGGCGCTAGTAAGGTATAGTTCCATCTAGACAAAGCAGTTATTCTGCGAGATGGAAATACATGCTATACCGTTCAAAACATGTTACATGGAAATATGTGCCTTTTACATGTTAAAACGGCTCTCGGGAGTTGTCGTTCGCGAGTGGTAGATTGACATTGGAAAGCATATAAAGAAGATAACATTGAAACTCTAGTGTATTGTACAAAAGCCTTCTGCAGTTGAAATTGCGCTCAAAGCAATAGCTCATAACCAAAGCCATAACACAAAGCATCATCAATGATAGAATAAGGGCTGTAAGGTCTAGGCTCTCATCCTGGAATCATTATCACTGATCGTGGGCTCTGTGTGATAAACAGCTTCGATAAATAAAACAATTATTTTATGACATATCAGACTTGCTACTTTCATTTATAATGTTTCTGTGATCAATGTGACGTTGAAAAGTTCAATAATTTGGTTTTAAACTTGAAATATATATTTTCCAGTAGTTATTAAGATTGAAAAATTCACCTATCGGCACAAGATACAATATATGTATAACCTAAAACTAGGGACGCAAAAAATGGAAAAACAAGGGATTCTGTGTTTATTTAATTTTTCAACTTCTTCCACAAGTTTTAATGAAATTACTTAAAATTTTGTACATTTGCTGAAGCGTCATTAAAAGGACCTAAAATGTGGATCAAGGGAAGACTGGAGGCTCTCAGGTTTGTTTTACTTGAAAAGGTGTATTGACGTATAAGGAGCCGGTTTAAAACAATAATATAAATCCTAATATTAGTGCTAGTCTCAGAGACTTTAAAAAGGTTTGGGGGCTCTTGGAATTGGATCCACGGATTTACATGAAAACTGATATGGAAATGTAAGAGATCGTTTACATTTTCCAAATATTTCTAAATGGAGATTAAGAAGATTTGGGGGGGGGGGGGCTCTCTGGTTCAGATGCATGGATTTCCTTGTAAATTGAAAAGAGTTTGGAATTTCCCGCAAAGTTACACGGGGGCTATCTGCGCTAGCCTTTCCTAATTTAGCAGTAAAAGACTAGAGGAAAGGCAGCTAGTCATCATTACCCACCGCCAATTCTTCGGCTACTCCTTTACCAACGAATAGTGGGATTGACCGTCACATTATAACGCCCCCACGACTGAAAGGGCTGGACGGGGATTCGAACCCGCGACCCACAGATTTCAAGTCGAGCGCCATAACACTTGGCCCTGCCAGGCCCAAATTGAGAAGCGAACGTGGAGTGTAAAATATTTTCTGTAACTGTTATTTCTCGTTAATGTTCACAGTTAACCTCTATTCTTGTAATGAAGCGTAGAGAGTAAAATATGAAATATGTAAATTTCTTCACTGAACTCTTAGCAAAGGCCAGAAAAGTAAAATACCAAAAAATAATAGGAACATACTGTATAAAGTTCTAAATATTCTTAGAAATGTTATCCTTTTTGTTGTTGTTGTTGACATAAAAATGTGCCTTAACGGAATAACACATCGGAAGACGAAACAGTTTACACAAGCATGTAATCTAAATCAACATCTATCAAGATTCTCTGGGTACGACCTTTGTTGTAGTTCTTGCGGAAAAGTCAAAACTGTTCCTTTTCATAATGAAGTTATTAAGGAGTAAAATTAAACTAACTTTTGTTTTTTTTCTAGAAAACCATAGTGATGTAATGATATATATAACACAAGGATAAGAATTGTTGTTTAAATGTCATATTATATTGGATAACTTGTTCTGCACATGATAACGTGCGTAATGCCTGTGTCGGAACACCGTTTATATACATCTTAAAGCATAATAAGTTCGGAAACGAGAAATAACTATGTATATTAATTTATAGTTTTATGTGTTATTCAGTACCTCACTTCTATAACATTCGTTGCTTTACTATAATTTCGCCCCCCCCAGTGGCACAGCGGTATGTCTGCGGACTTACAACGCTAGAATCCGGGTTTCGATACCCGTGATGGGCAGAGCACAGATAGCCCTTGTGTAGCTTTGTGCATAATTAAAAACAATCAATCAAAAAAAAAAACAATACTATAATTTATTTTAACACTAATTACATCACAAAGAAAAAATATCACTTTAAGTCTCAGCCGTTTCTCTAAAAAAAAAACTTGTGAAGTCGAAATCTACTTCCTTTAAATGAATATAGTAATGATTTGCATATAATATGTGTATAAATGTTTGTTTGTTTGTTTTTGAATTTCGCGCAAGACTACACGAGGGCTATCTGCGCTAGCCGTCCCTAATTTAGCAGTGTAAGACTAGAGGGAGGCAGCTAGTCATCAACTTTTTATCTGTTGATAGTTAACAGTATTCTGTATCTTCTGTCATAACCGTTTTAATGGTTTTATCTGTTGATAGTTAGCAGTATTCTGTATCTTCTGTCATAACCGTTTTAATGGTTTTTATCTGTTGATAGTTAGCAGTATTCTGTATCTTCTGTCATAACAGTTTTAATGGTCTTTATCTGTTGATAGTTAGCAGTATTCTGTATCTTCTGTCATAACAGTTTTAATGGTCTTTATCTGTT